AGGAGAGGTAGCGCATACGCTGTCCAACATCCGACGAAAGCAAGAGCGACATCGAACTCTTTACAGGCGTGCTACAACGTATCGTGCGTCTCATCACACGGCTTTCCTGGGTCGGCGAGCCCGAGCGCAAGTGCTCGGTGCCTGCACCGGTTGTCGGGGTTTCGCCTGGTGCAGCGCCGAACGCGGTATGCTGGGCAATCAATGAAGGCATTCATGTCGTCGGCTCGCTCGTCGAACACAAAACCTCCAGGGGTCGTGCGACAACGGGTACCTGCGATTGTCCCGGTCTCGGTGCTGCTCCGGATAGTGCTCTCGAGTATCTTCTCGACCGTGTCTTCGACGAACGCTCGTCTCGCGGTCGTTGCTGGTACCTCGTCACCTGGCAGGGCCACGGTCTCGAAGATGCTAGGTGGCTAGATACATCGAAATTGCACGACTGCACCGGACATGACGCGAGGTTGGCTCGATTCTTTGACTTGCTTGCAGTGGCCTTCCCACCCGCGCCTATGTCGCCGTCAAGCCGGCGGCCGCGCCGCTCCTGCGACGTTCGCTGCGTTTCGCTCGCGATGCGTGACTTGCACGGTGGAGCTCACCCGATGCGCGCAAGTTTGTCCGTTGTCGGTGTTCTTTGCGTTCGCCGGTTGTTCGCACTTTATTCTTTGTCTCTGTTGCTAATTTTGTCTGCTTTCTCGGTTTTTTCGCTGCCCGGATATTTCGGTCTTTTTCGTGTATTTTCCCTCCCTGTCTTTCCCTCGATGGGTTGAGGAGAACTGTAAACCCCGGCTTATCTTACCAAGTTTTCATGCCACGTAGCCTAGCCGCGTGCTACGTATGTATCGATACCCCGCCCCCTTCAAAACTATCCAATGCTCACGTGTATCTTATACATCTTTCTTTCTCCAATCCCTCATATGGGACTTGTCCTGTTCTCTTCGCAGTCTGATACTCTCCGCTCATTTCTATCAGTGTACTTGCTAGCTACACCAAGCTTCCGTGTGCTTTACCGTCCAATATACAGAGTGGGGTGATTGACTTCCGCGATACGTGGCATTACTATACTGACACGTCTTCGTTGACGATGACTTCCGCGATTGCGGATCATCAGTGCGCGGGTTGTCCTGCTACTACCATGACCGAAGAATGCAATACCCCAAGCGCCTACGCTGCACGGTGGCGGCCTGGCATATTGCTCCCTTCCGGCGAACAGTGCGTATCCTGCAAGTCTAGCTGACCAACATAACATCTTAATACTATAGGTTCGCTGCGATGGATTTCACATCAGTGGCGGAACTACAAACTACAAACCATAGGCCAGAACAGGCACTTACTCTTAAGGACAGTCTCGGAGAGTCCGACGACGCACGAGTAAATAGATATTTACCACGCTCCATGTAGCAACTTACCAACGCAAGACGGCATCTACTAGGCTATCGCCGTACAGAACCGACGCAGTAGTAAGAACCTCTCATCTGTGGCAGTTGTGTGTGAAGGATGCGGTTGGGCTGCCGAAGGTAAGCCGGCTGTTGAGTGACATTCGTACAGATACCAACGCCAAAGTAAAGCAGACCTCAAACGGCACGAGGACGTACGGCGGGCATACAGTGAGTCGTATGCTCGCGCTATCGACGCGGCCTTCAGGCTCAAGCGGGGCACCACGGCTGGAGAAATGATGTTGGTACCTTTCCAGGCATGGGAGAAGGAGCGGGAGGCAGCAAGCCAGGTCACTCTCGAGGCTGCGTGCGGTAGTGCCAAAATTACCTCGTACGTTCGCACGCTTTGCATGGGCGAAGGCAAATGCTCATCGCTCATCCGTTAACTTAGGCATACTTGTTCTGGGGAGCATTACTTGGGAGAGTGTGAGAGCGCAAAGGGGAATGGCGGCTACGAGAGCGACGTCCCGTCGCTCATGTCGCTGTCGGATGAGTAATTGGCGGGCATGTGCCACAGGCGTCTACCAGTGTCCAGCCCCGTCTCGTCGTCATCTACGCCCCTTGCTGCGTCTTCCTTGCTCTAGCCGTGACCGTTCTCTCATCACTATCGCCCCATTCTCGATGGCCCAGGCTTCCAAGTACACCTGTTTAGCCCACGCCAATGTGATATGGTCCTGTCGGGGAAGTGGGGAAATTTCATTGTGTTTGTAGTCGTTTGCCAACGACCAGCCTGTCGGAAAGCCCGATCCAAAATCCGAATGTTGGTAAGCGTGCGACCGTTACGCTCTGCTTTCGATTTGACTTGATCGACGCTCAAGGAGTCAAGCGCCCATATCGCTACCGAGACCACCTTGTTCACTCCCCTATACATCCAGACTGTATTAGGGCTCTCCATGCTTAGCATGACAGGCAGTCGTCTAGCAAAGTCGGCTTTTCTCGATCAAAGGCTCGCGGTGCGACTAGCAGAGATCAGTGGCTCCGGCGTATGTATCTGTAGCGGTCCACTGGGCCCCCGCCCGATGCGCCTCAATACTAAGGTTTTTTGCTACTGACAGCGCTGCAGATACGTCCCAGTGGGCGTAGGGGGCCGTGCTGCACCCGGCCTCCACCTGCGTAGGTGATGGGTACACTTTCAATTTGACCGCCCCAGTTCCTGTGCCCGAAATCCGCGGCATACTACAGCAGACTACCACCACAAACGCGACGACACGTCTTTGAGACAGCGCAATGCGCACGTGTGCGGCCGATCCTGTCTTATCGCCAAGAAGGATCCGGCGTGGTCTGGTGTGCAGGATGGGTTGCTTGCTGTCATTGCGGATGGTCGACGATATCCAGGAGCGCCTGCACAATAAGCCTGTGTGTACCTTAGACCTGCCCAAATCACATGCGCAGGTTGAGCTCGTGTTTGATCGTACGAGGTCTACGATAAGTCTGATAGACGCTGGTGGCCGCTCGCTGGCAAGCCCATCAAATGCGCTGTACACCGTGGCGTCGTCAACGGCCAGACTGTCTTCCTCGATGGGGCGCTCCTTGACACCCTTAACGGCCGCGACATTTTCGTCCCCGTCGTCCATGTTCTTGCAGCCCCGCAGCGGCGGTCGAGAAACCTACGCTGGGTCCACCGTCGACGCCTGCGTCTGTAGTTCCCACAGCACCCACGTGCTGATGTGCCTTCTTCTTTAGCAGCCGGCGTGCGCGCTCTTGAGGGACTGCTTGTGCGATAACCGGCGCTCTCTCACCCTATCCTGCACCCTTCGTTCGCTGATCACCACATCTTTTCCGTCAAGCAGTTCACGCAGAAGGATCTGTACGTGCTGTAGGCAATATGCTCTGCACGTTCTTCTACAAGCCCGGCACACGCGCTAGCTCGTTGTTCGAGGCGACCATCGAAGGCCTGTAGTGGAGAGGCTGTTGTGATCAATACTGATCGTAGCTTTATCTACTCAAGAAGGGTACGTCAGTGCCAGATACTATTTGCATGCTTCCATGCTAGTACACAGATGCGATTGTCGTGTGCCATTCCGATGCTGGCTCTTGCCAGCTGGCTGCTCGTTACGGCCGCGTGCCGGTTCTTACCCCCAGTGACGGCATTGGTAACACCCGACGCAGGCGCTTCTGAATGTTCCTACTATCCGAAGCGAACTCGTTACTGTCGACGGTTGAACCGTCATGCTTCTCGGGGACCTCAAGAATGGGAGGACTGCGTACCTGCTCGTTCCATTCCTCTACATGATGTACACGAACGTAACCCTGAACTTCGTCGCACCGCAGATGCTCCCGATGTCCGTCGCTGTCGTAGACGCCGCTCGCCATGCGGGCGTCACTGTGCACCAGTGCGGGTTCGTAGGGAAGATCCACGGCGAGACGGATGCGGGCGGTTTTGTGCGATGCGCGTTCAGCGCGTGAGGTTCTCTAGCGATTTCACACAGTAATGCGAGACTCTTTGCCTTACATCGTCTTCCCCGCGTCAGACAATTGTCAGCACATCAGTATCCAGCATGAAGAACAAGAGCATCATTGAATTACTCCTCCATTAAGAGGCGGCAACAAACTCAAACACGTATACATTCGACATGAAGCAATCGATAGAGAATAGATGTTTATGATGACAAACATGCAGCCATAGCGAGATGATAGGACGCACTCGCCTCTTCGTACGTGAAGAACCTGTTGACAGTTGCGTGTGGGTGCTTTCTGTGAATCCACTCGCTATGGGGTTATTCAGCACACAGCATGAGATTAGGAAGGTCATCACGAACGTACTCGTCTACCTCATCTGTGCGTTTGTAAATGAAACACCCATCGACATTGGCAACCATGTAGAAGCGATGCTCATTATAGGGAATGTTGAGAGCAGACAATGGGTGAGGTTCTGACGACGTGATGGACACTAAAGGTCCACCGGAGAGAGGTCTTCCTCTGACTCCCATATGGTCTTGAGGGTCTCATGGCGTTGACTGTCGCCCACTGAACTCGAACGGTTTCTCCTCGCATCGCACGCAATGTCGCGCTTCACGAGTGCCCCGGAAAATATTCCGGAGAGCGTGGCCTCGTAAGCATCGCGGTAAGAGCGCTCGATAGATGAACTGAATAGCTCTAGTAGCTTTACCATGCCACCTGGTACAAATCCCGACAACCTCTCGAGTGTCGTGTTCACATTGCACGCATTCGGGTCGCAGTGGGAGTGTAGATACCAGGTAGCCGCGATGAGAGGGGGACTGTAACTTTCAGTACATGTGCGGTATTGAGAGGTTGTAAATCCGTCCGAGTTGTACGCTTCCTGCAGAGGGATTATGGATATAAGTTTGGAGGAACAAATCGCGACCAAGTGGTAAACTGACATCGTAGCGCGTCAAGCATTTTGAGATTACCGCAAGGCGCCGATCATTGAAAGCCACCTCGCCCTCAAAGAAATCCAACTTCTCCGCACATAAAGTTGCTTCCTCAAGCGAGGTCGCCCTCAGTCGACGATGTGCCCAGTCGACCAGATGTTCGCTCGCAACCTTGCTCAGATGGATGACATCGCCAAGCGCCGTGTATAGCATGAAGAGAATCGGGTTCTCCTCGACGTAAGGCGGCAATGGCTGGGGGCACAAACATAGGTTATGTTGAAGCTTGGAGACGATTTCGGCGACTTCGTCGGCGAAGGCAGGTGGAATGACGATGGAGGCGTGTTGTGGATCTATGCTTTGATAAGAGATCAACTGGCTCAAGCGCGGGATTTCTTCATTATCGGAGATTGGCGTATGAGGGCGCGAGAGAATGAGCGTGGCCGTCGAGGCTGGGGAGGCTGGCGGAGTACGTGGCCCCAAAACGGGCGATGCGGACGGGCTCTGCGCCAAGATTGCCGGCAGGAGGTCGACCTTGGGAGGCACGATACGTTTCCCAGCGAAGAACAAAACCTCATACCACGTCGCAGCAGCTTCATGAAAGTCGTGAAAGTCTTCGAAGACTGGGTTCCGATGATCCTTAACGTGCTGATAGGCGAGGGCCCTAGAGAATTCTGTGAAACCATTCCGCACATCGTAGTTAAATTGATGCATACCATGTACAGAATATCCCGACTTCGTCGCCTTTGGTGACTAAAAAGCATCCCAGTCCGGACTGATAATAACTTGGCGGTTCAAGCACAGGACCACCGATGTCCTCATCTGCAAGACTTCAGTGGCGCACGCGAGGGACTAATTTGAACGTACCATATACAGGCATAAGTCGCGGTTTGGGGGTGTACAGCGGGAGAATGATGGGGGTCGGGTGGGTGTCGCATATGGCAGATGGTCCGGTGTTATATGTCAAACCACGGGCGCTCCTGGAGATTCTCAGGCGCTATGGGGATCATGGGAATCTCCGAAGCCACTGATTGTAGCGCCTGCCCGTAAGGAGAGCTACGCAGGAGAGCTTCAGTGCGCGAGCAGCTGGCGGTGCAAAGGTGTCCGTAAGGACCACCAACTTGTGCGTTCCGAGGCCCGAGCGGACATTCCGGGTGAGGAGGTGTACAGAGAAGGAGCCGCACTAAGGGGAGTATGGGACGACTGCGTCCCGTGCCGCGTGCACTAGACAGCAATGCCCGTAAGGAAGAGACAAAAGAGCGATGGCAGGTGACACAAGCACCCGCCCGAGGCGTAGAGGGCGGCCGGCGCCACGAGCGACGGTTTGCGCGAAGGAGCCAAGACCTCGCAAGTCGTTCCCACGCCGGGAGTTGTTGGAGTCTAAACGAAGACAGTCCGAGGGCTACGCAAAGAAGGATAGCCACGGAAAAAGAGAGGGAAATGTGTATTAAAAGAGGTTTGTCGTGTAGTGGGGGGGGAGAGCGAACGCGCGACGCGCGACTATATACGAACATAACCCTAATGTAGGGGTAGCCGCCGAATGGGCGCCACAGCACACCAGTACGTACTTTATCTACACTATATAGTAAATACAAGCTAGACTAATGCTATACCGACATACATTGCGCTAAACGATGATGTTACCCCATTCAGCTCCACATTCCAGATACACTACTTCCCGGCCTTCTTCCTAGGCATCTTTCCCTCCAGTATATGACTCAATATCCAAGAGAAAACTGACCAATCTGTGTACCTGAAGCTGTTTCGGATCGGTTCTGACAGCCTCCCAGCGCTCCTGCGCCTCTTGTTTCGTGATCGTGCCCCTCTACTCGGCGTCATTGTACAGCGAGGCCATGAACAAGCCCCTAAAATGCATATATCAGATACCAATACGATGAGACAAACAATCTCTGCTAGTGTGAGCCAGTAGTCCTCCTGTAGAAGAAACCCCTCGTATTTCTTCTGCGCGTGCTCATCAAACAGACCCGGCGCTGGGCGGACTCTGTTGCGGCTGACGGGCACGCGAAAATGAGTAAGCGAGACCGAACCATGACGATCACTGTGGAGTCGACTATAGCTCGAGACGAAGATTCTGGATATGCGGTGACCGTCGTGATCGTGGCAGTGCCTGAAGACCTCGCGGGATGCGGAACCGGCGCGTTCTCGCTGGATGTGCGGCAGATGTGTTCACGAGTAATACAGCAGCAGGCACATCGTGCAAGATGGAAGGGGCAATGTTTAATGCCGAATGTACAGGAGACGACCCCGCCGATGGAGAGGTAACTGTGGTCGATGATGGTGAGTTCTCTGTAGTGGCAGTGGGTAGAGAGGCCGGCGAGACTGGGGACGACAGGTACAAATAGATGCGCGACCATGAGTGCCACATCCGACGTATTTGACGTACAGGACGCCACGACGGGTGTTGCATTAATCCGTGATCATTATTGATCCTACAAGTATGGCCGGATCGTGCGTAGGTGCCGTCAATACGAACAGGGAGGCGCTTGGCAGGATTATGGTAGCAGATGAAGCGCCGGGGTCGCTGAAGATGCAATTGTCGCACTGGGTATCTCTAAAGGCGGGGGAAAGCTCTGCATGATGGCGCTCGATGAATCCGAGAGCAGCTTGCGGATCTCATCTTCTGTCAAGAAAAACTGCGATACTTCTATTTGCGATACGACCTTCGACGAAGAGGGAAAACGCAATGTGACCGGTAAATGTGGGGTGGATTCGACGGCACGGACGGTGGCGTCATACTGCGTTGCGAAGTTATTTTCGTCCGGACAGAGCAGCAACTCGTTGTCGGAGGATGTAGAGGGCGCGAAATCAATGGGAGAGGCCAAGAGTCCCCGCGCAGCGAGAGTGGTGAAGCTAGTCATGATCAGCACAGCGGGGGGAGATAGACGAAATATGCATACTTACATTGAAGTCCGGAGCAACAGCTTCGTCCTAGAGAACATCGCATTATCCGAAAGGCGATGCCAGCAAGTACGAGATGAGATCGCATGAATTGGCAAATTGGTATTGAGCGTCATCAGGGGCCAGCGCGATGAACGTGAGGCCGACGTCTTTGTTAGGCCGTGTTTCTTCGCCCAGTTCGTGTACTTCTGCTTGATGAGCAAATCGGGCTGCAAGGTACCACTGTCGCAGAGACCGAGGACAGGTTACCGCCTGAGTGAAGAGACACTAGCGGCATGGCATACAGACTCTCGAAGGAAGGAGCCGCCTAGCCGAAGATGCACAGGCAATCGAGTAGAGCTTTGATCGCAGTCGCGTGCGGCCTTCGCGACTTCGTCCGAGAGAACTTTGCCAAGCTCGTCTCCCACAAAGGTCTGATCGGTGTATTCGGCGTTCTCAGGAGCACACTTCTTCCCGTGAGGTCGCCCAGATTTGTACCATGTACCACTGCATAGTGGGTACTCGACCTCGTGCTTGGAAGCGGGGCTAGGACATCGGGAATCTTGTTCAAAAGATCATTTTAGGAATGCCTGGACGTGGCGAGGACTGTGAAGAGAGACGAAAGGCGACTGGACAACAACGACTTACGTCGTGAGCTTGAGCTCCATTACCAACTTTTCCGGCTGATTCTGCATCTCCGGAAACAGTGCAAGCCCCTCATCTGCTGAGGCATGTCAGCATTCATGAGTTCAATGTGTGTGGTCGTCGATAAGAAGTCTCCCCCCTCCGGACATTCCCGGATAAAGTGAGGCTATTCGGGATTCAGCGAATGAAGATAGATGTACAGGGGTAGACTCACAAGTTCTGTCGATGCGCCTGCTGGTCTAGGATCACTGCCGCATGAACCTGTACCATAAACGAGGTGAAGCCTGAACCGGTTGCATGACGTTAGCGAACTGGATGAAAGGTATGAGATCCAAGTATAGACGTACTGAACTGGTTCGGGCCACGTTGACTGGAAGAGAAAGATGGGTCAAGCTGAGGTATGTCAGAAGCCATGTCGGCGGAGGAGATAAGTTACAGAGGCGAATGCGTCGAAGGGATTGGCCGGCAAATGAGTCGATACGAGCCTGCAGGCTAGCATGTTTCTGACATCGCCGAGTTTGCTGGAACAGCCTTGACCGAGTCATCGCCATCCACGCACGATTCACTCAAGGTGCGGCTTTGTGACAAGTTAATACATCGGATTCCTTGTTGGTCGCTCGCTGTAAGACATGATGAACCAACTAGTCGCTCTACTGAAGGTTCTGAAGGGTAACGACTGTCCACAGAGGTAAGCGTATTGGCAGAGCCTCGGTGCCGGGTGAGCACAAGAATATAGAGATGCAAAGATGTTAATCCAATCTGTCCGCGGCAGCTGAGGACTCCGAGTCTGTAGCGGCTAGCTGGACCCGAACGTGGTTGGCTGACGCTACTGCCCGAGCGACTTCGACCGAGGAGTAAGACCATACACTTGCTGGAAACGAAACAAAGCAATACAGGCAGCTGTCATCCCACAGGTAGGTTTTGAAGTAGTTCCCGAGTCGAAGCAGGTCGGTGACAGCGATTGACGCGGTAGTGGTGGCGAACGAGAGTCGAGTTGAAGGCCGCGCTCGCGACTTCCTGCTCAGTGTGACGCTCGACGTGACGAGCGCGCGTCAGTTTGAATTGCAGTCTGCAAGAGACCTTCTCTTTCTGCACCTTTGACATACCAAATCTCGTACCGGTACAAGCACACTGATGACTCGCAGCACGAATACCTTCTAACTTCCGTAACACAAATGTAAGTAAGCATAAACAACAAGCTATCGAGCGTACTGTATGAGCCCATCTCACCGACGCGCGTGTCTTGCCGCGACGACTCCAGCGCACCATTCCGCTACAACGGTGTGTGCGTACGTCGAGTAACAGACTCGTACTTCGTATTTTGCTCATTACAATTCGCCATTGGGGCAGAATCGGGAACACTTGAGAACTGGGGGAACGCGCGGTACCGCGCTCCGCGCCGCGCTCCTCGCCGCGCCGCGGTGCCGCGACCTCCAACCGTTTTGAAAACGGCGCGGCGCGGCGGTAATCTTTTCAAAAATCATCTCAAGTCGTACGACGCGGCGGGATCTGGCTGGCGAGCTGACCATCGTATACAGGGCCCTGAGAAGGGTACTTTGACTATTCCCGTACAAGTAGAATATATTTAGATCTCAATATATCCCAGTTTTTCTCAATTTATTCGGGCTTGTTTGAACAAAAAGAATTCACTCAAAAATATTCAAATAAATACATAGTTTCTCGAGAAATTCCCCCCGCGCCCCCATGCTCATACGCAGCTACCCCGCACCCAACGCAGTGCTCAGTTGCGCCACCTGTACAGGCGGGATGATCTATCCTGCCCAGCCAGTGCCGTGGGACAGTCGAGCTTTTGAAAACGCGGCTCCGCGACGAGGCGCGCGGTGCGGCAGCGCGGCGTCGAGCGCGGCAATGGGTTCGAAAGTGCGCGGTGCGGAAGTGCGGCACCGCGCGTTACACCAGTTTTCGAACTTTCATGCAGAATCGATCATACAGCGCAGTTTGTGCCGTCTCATTTGGCTTTGCATTCCAAGGAAACAAACTCATGGGTGACCACATACATGCATCCAGGCCTTGTACAACTATTCCTTTTATGATGCATCTTCAAGCGACTGTCTACTCTTCATGCTCAGCAGGCTCGTCGCGGCCGTCACAGGCGTGCCCATCTTCGCCCTCTTCAACAAACCGTCGGAGTCGTCACGGTCAGCCGAGTGTGTGGGCTTCGTGCCGGCGGGACGCGAACCTTGCCCAGCAGAACGAGTGCTGCTCACGCTACCATGATGCGAAGCGCGGGAGCGCATGCTAGGCGTCGGGCTGGGAGCACGTACACCAGGACCGCTCGTCGGCGGAGGCGGAGGCGGGTCGCTTGGCGCTTGCGAAGCTGGGGCCGCGCCATCGCGGTAGTTGGACAGGCCGATGAGTGTCTCTGCGACGCCCTCGTCTAATCCTCATCGACAACGGGGTTCGATACGCTGACGGTCGACTCGGGCGGACTCGGCTTCTGGCCCTGGTTCAAGCCACCACTGCCAGCCCCGGGCATCTCGCGACCCTTGTACGGGCGGTACGAGCCGAAGGGCTGCTGCTGCTGGGTAGGGCTTGGGCGTCTAGGTGTGCGAACGCGGCGCAGGACCAGGGCCAGGCGTAGACGCGGGCGTGGGCTCATTGTTCCTGCTGCGACCCGTCGTAGCGCGTCTGCGCTTCTTCGGTTAGGGTGCCAGAACACCCATCGTACCCCCAGGACCAGCGAGCTGTTGCGGCGGCTACATCTCCGCCGAAGACGGTCCGTCCTAACTAAACGTGCCCCTGCGGGTGCGGTGCGCCACGTGCGGGCTCTCAGACGTGCGACTCAGGAATGATGGTGGGGAAGGCGGAGCGCCACTGTTGACGTATCCCTGAAGCGGTGGTCCGTTCTCGTAGCGCCTGCTGGGTGTATCCACCTTTATCGGCTCGCCACGCATGCTGGGGTGTTCGCGCGGGAAGATAGGCGGCGGGTGACCACGACTAGAACCACTGGGCGGCGAACGTTCATGGCGAGACTCGTAGTATGGCGGCTGTTGCGGCGCATACTTGGGACCAACACCGACGCGCATCTCGCGCCGGTGTGCCCAATCGCGACGCTGCCAGTCTGCGTCACGCTCGCGGTCCTGTTGACGTTCGCCTTGTTAAACCGCCGCAGGCTCGCGTGGGTAGCCATGCGGCGACCGCGGAGGACCGTCACAGCCGTCCACCACAGCGTTCGTCAAGGCGCAACAAGGTCGACATGCCACGAGCGACCGATGACGTAGGCGCATAGCCTTGCTCACGCGTAGCCGAGAGCAGTTGTTGGGGCGCGTCAGTCTCCATGGAAGCGAGATGCAGGTGCCTTTGCATCTTCTGACGCGCATCGTCGATTTTTACGGACGGTGGAGGACCACCACGGAATGGTGGCGGCGGGCTACAACCTCCAGGACCAGCACTTGACGGAGGCATATCACCCGCTGGCCCATAAGAGTCGGTACGGGAAGGCGGGCGGGAACCACCAGTGTGCATAGGGAGCAGGGCACCCAGAGCACCAGGCGCTGGCGCGGCAGGGTTGGCATAGAAGATCGGGTGTACGTCTTGTGGTGCAGTCGCCGCCGAGACCTGAGCGCCTGTCGCCTGCGAGTGCTCGAGAACCTGGAGACGGCCCGCGATACTGGCGTTGTTCGGGTCCAGCTTAGCGGCACGTGCATACGCGTCGATACGTGGTTGTGGCACAACTCGTAGAGGCTGCCGAGATCGTAACAAACCCCAGGATGTATGGGTTGATGCGGGTGACATGTGAATAGCGTCGAGTGCGTCGCGGCACTGGTTGATTTGGAAGTAGAGGACACCGATGGAGGACTGGAATACGGCCGTCTCAATTAACTGCCTGTTTGAACACCTCGTATGCCTTGTTTTACTTTGATCAGTCGCGAAGGCGCGGCCAAGAAGGTATCGCCAGGGCCGGCTTCGAGCGACTTGGTGAGGTACTGAATAGCGAACACCTGGTCCTGGAACGAAGTGGCCGCTAGAACGATGCATGTGTAGTGTTGCGAGCATGGTCGAACTAGACACTTTGTCAGTGCTACGATCCCGCAAGCAACCTAAATGTCCACGTACATGGTCCTGCTGTTCACGAATATGCCCACTCCGCGTATAAAAATTGGCATTGGTGAATGGGCTTGGCGAATTGCGGGTTATACGCTGGGAGCAGTGCAAGCTCTGAGCGTATTTTTCGTCTGCTGCATATGGAAAATCTGTGGATAAGCAAAAGTCCGCATCCAATCACTTATGAAGGGAAAGGAGGTGAGTGAACGCACCTTCGGCAGTTGAGTGATGGGGTTTAATAGGACGCGGTTTCATACCGGGTGTACAGTACCCATCTCGATGTGTCGGGATTGGCGAGGGAGTTTAGGTCCGCGCAGTCGAGAAGACGAGCTTAGAAGGGGGAAGTGGCGGAGGTGGTGGCTGAGCATCATAGAACGTAGTGGTGGGAGCAGTCGAAGACACGTTCAAAGTCAAGCCGCGCACGCCAGCGCGTGCCCGCGCGCACATGGTATGTACCCGTCTCGCCTCTGCCCATCATGCATCATGACTCTCGCATTTGCCTTGTACCTCTCATGATAAATGTACGGCGCTCTTGAGGGCGCAACTCTGGCATGAATGGGGCTGCTCGTGGCCAGATTTGGCACACAATTCCCCAAATCAAACTTTAGCTGCACGCCAAGTGCAGTTTACTGCTCTTCCAAATTCTTTCGGTACGCTCATGGCAGCTTCGACAGATAGTTTCCCTCCTCTGCCGCATTGAATTCTACCGACACCGTGCCTTTTGCTCCTCTGGTTGCACCAGTCCCTCGTCTTGGAACCTTGTACGCGCGACCGAATGCCATTGCACACCAATCATATATGAGAAACCAAAGTTGTGACTAGATAAATGAGTTCATTGGTCATCAGGAATGTATACACTACGAGCGAAAGACCCTGCACTCCGGCCAATTACAGCCCAGAGATTCGCACTCCGCCGAACACGGCCGATTCAACACCCGACGCAGTTGAGATCGACTATCTCCTCGGCCAATTCGCCTTGAAAGTAATGTATGTCGAGAATGCCATGATGGAATTGAACATTGCAAGGTGTAATCCCTGCCAGAAGGACTGTCTCTGCCTTCGTGATTTCTGCAGCGACGCCGATGGGTACCTGGATCGCGAATAAGTGCTGTAGACGTCCATAGAATGCCTCGGGCTGCAATTCGGCGTTCTCCTCGTCGCTATCATCTGGATTCTGATCAACCAGCCGCTGATACCAGGGAAAGTGTATCAGTACTGTATCAATTGCATAGCATAAAGCTGGCATACTCTCACATAAGTGGCATCGCGACGTTCTTCACGCTGCCTCGCTGAAAGCATCATGTACGCATACATGGTATCACCACTGTCAACGCGAGCGCGCGTGTAAGACTGGATGGTGTATCTTTTCACCAGAGCCCGAAGTACAGTTCCCTGATCTTGCAGGCTGTAACGTGTTCCCAGCGATCGAGTGGTACGTGAAATGAGAAAGTGACTCCGTCCGCTCAGGGAGAACGTTCTGGTCGGTATTGCCGACTGTATTGATATTGCAATCGCACGTAGGCTAATGCCACGTCGATCCACCATGAGGGTTTGAGCAGAGCCACGGTTCGCAGGCTGAGCCGAATTAATCACTGAGTGTGCTAGTGGCGGAAAACAAGCTGGGTCACACCTTGACTTGCTGGTCTGTTCGGGCGCTAGATTCCTATTGGTAAGCCCAGAAGGCCACGTGGAAAGATTGGCAAGCCGCCTGAAGATGAGATCTATTAGATCATCGGGGCGGTCTGACCGGACACGACGCGCTTTGCGGCACACGCGGCAAGCCGCGTGCGGGCGTCACCTCGCTCATCCTTTTCCGCCCCGTTCCACACAGAGCTAACGGCGCGCTACGTAGTTTGGATGAAGATGTGCAGGGAGGAGCATGTAGAGTGGCGAGGGAGGACACAGGTGCGGGGACGCAGAGGAGGTGCGGGGACAGCGCGGGAAACGTGTGCGCGCGCGTTCCGAATTTCCGAACGTTCTGACCGCTATACATATCGACGCGCGACTTCTTCTCATCCTCTTTCCAACCCTCATCCGATAATTGAGAACGCCTCTTTGTCTATCACAGGTGCTATGCTTGAGACTGTCATAGACCGGGACTCTGATACTGAAGTGAGAATGCTACGCAATGAACATCCGCGCTGCAGCGGGCGTTTGCTCTCTCGTTGGCTCCCACAACCAGCGAGCGACGATCACAGAGCTCAGTGAGTTCTGGAAAACCCGCCGTACAAGGTCGGCTTGGGTCTGTCTGGATCTCAACAGCGACAAGACTGGATCGCATCTTTACCCAACCTTGCCTGTGCTCGCGGTAACCCCCATTTTCGCGGTGGCAACTGGCAAAACGATGTCCGTTCACTACCTCCCGCAGAGGGCGATTTGCAGCACAAGACCGGCGTTGTCACATGGCATAGGGCTCCTGGAGGGAAGTTCTGGTGTACGGGACGCCGCGACCCGCGCCCACACCTTAACCCCGGCCCGCCTCCGTACTCCTCCACGACAGGCTGGTACTCGATTGACTGGACATGGAACGGCGAAATAGGCGGTGATTTTCTGGGAGAAGCATGGTGGAAGCCTGACTGGCCGCATACCGCCGGGCGGTACACACATCGTTCGCAATACCGGAGCTTCCTTTGGAATCCCAAGTGTGACAAATACCTCATTGGCGTTATAGACCAAAATGTGTGCGCACTTTCACCGGAGGCGTTTGACCTTCTTATCATGATGGCCAACGACGTCGAAGCCATCAGTCAAGGTGCCATCGACCTCTGCGCTGGCGATACCGAGTATCACAGCTTACCCCGAGGCGCGTTGGATTCCATACGTCCTGGACCATGTCCTCGGCCGGATAACCCGGATTGGAAGCCTTTTGGGACACTATCAGAGCAACGTGGACAGCTCGACACCGCTCGTGCATCATTCGTAAGCCATCTTGGCTTGGCCGCTATACTGTTGCGTGGTGTTCCCGACAAGGACCTCGTTCTTACCCTGCCACGACGCTGGATCTACCCTTCCTTCCCGGGTGGAACGTTCTACGACGCAATTGAGGCTTATGACGTGGCCCATGGTCGCATGGCTGGGATCGTTCTTGATCTTAACCTGGAACCTGCTTCGCACCCTCCTCTATCTCTTTTGGCGCAATGGGGAGTCCGCTACAAATTCTACGAGCCGAACACTCTTCAGCCCGCGCGCAGCATGCAACCGAAGGACTGGTGCTGGAAGGACGTGGCTAACTGGGCTACATGGCCTGCATTAGAGATGCTCCGCGCCTACGAAGCGACATACGGCCGTGCGCAGTCGCTACCTGCTGGTTATGATCCCATTTTGGAGAAGTTCAACCAGTATATTCTAATAGAACCCGTCGACAACGCCGATTCGCGGTTCGAGAAGTTCCTGAGACATGTCTTGGACGGTCTTGAGCAGCATGCCGAGGAACGGCTTGTTCAACTGTTCCATACACGGGTAGTTACGCGCGATGAAATCATCAGATACCGGTATTGCCAAAGAATGGATTACGAGGAGGATATTCTCCGCGGCTGCCTTCTATTCAAGTCGTGGACTGACGATCATTATCGCAAGAACGCCTTTCTGCGGGCTAAAGGGAGGGGCATCACGCGCACTCCACCTCCAGACGACGACGAAGATTCTCTCAGCGATTGCGAAGTAGCCATTGACCAGACTCTTATGGCGCGCCTGAGGGACCACGGCCTACGCTTACCTTCTCCGCTACCAACTCGTCCATGCTATGGTCCGCAGTTACCGAATCATCCTTTCCCATTGGCTGTTGAAGCGGCGGCAGAGCTTCCTGATGCATGGGCAGATGTTCTCATGCAGTCGATGCCTCCTCCACTGCGCAATCTGAGGGAGACACATAGTCCAATTGCAGACGTCATAGTCAAGAGCGAGCCGGCGGATGAACCAATGGCTCTTGACGATCCCCAATCTGCGCTTATATTAGAGTCGAGTGCTCAGTCCGCGAACGCAACATCGGACGCTTCGTATGACCATACGGGCTCGCTGCACCTCAACTCCTCAGACGAGTTGACGCAGCACGGCCATGGCGCGGTCGCATCGATGCATTCTTCCGCCCCGATGCCTTCTCCCTCGCAAGCAGATCCATCGATGATTGCGCCCGAGCCTTTGGTCCCTCAACTCCCTGCCAATACGGTGCATCAATTTCTTTCAGGTACCGTCACTCAGTTTCCTCTAGAAGCTGGTAGGTCTGAACCAGCGCTCACAGTCCCCACGATCATACATCCTACGAACATTCCAGCGGGACCGCTTCGTCGGCCAGTGCGGGGTCCCCCCATTCACCCAACCTTTAATGTGTGCTGGCCAACTTCGTCGGCGCCATCTTCTCTTGAAGGGACCTTTGACGAGATAATGGGCGCAATATTCCCTCCTGCTGTTGTAGACGTTTCCGCTTTGCGCCCTATGCCGATCGTTCCACATCTGACAGCACCGATCGGAGAAGGATGGGTCCGCTTCCCGCCAGCAACACATACGCGATACTTGGCCTGGACTCGCCGAAACACAAGAAGCATTAACGACTTCATTCGTCTTGCAGCTAGTCGAGGCATGGCGTTCGAATTTGGACGAGTTGGCTCAGCTCAGCAGCACAAAATCGACGCTGAAGGCTGGTGTTTGCCTCACGACCTTACATTTGCTCAGTGGGGTTACGGGCTTCAGCTTCTGCCAACACATATTTGCTCTGAATTCTTCCGGCAAGGAGGGGTTGCCTGGCGACTGATGCTGGAGTATCTGCCTTCCACGGTTGTTAGCGACGCACTGCAAGGCCCTTCCATTCACGCTTGCGTACCCTTGTTGGGGGAAGAGCAATGGCCAGCAAATGTGGTTGTTGACCGGCCGACCGAGAGGCAATACGCCATACTCACGGGTCGCTGTAGTGATGGCAAGTCGTGGTGGCCTCACCCCGATGTTTGGGACGCGATTTCATCGGGAGAGTGGGACACGCGTTACGAAAAGTGGTTCAGCACGCGCATAGCAGAGGGACACAGAGGTCAAGCTACACGGATGTTAGACACCGCCTGGTTTGCACCGTTGAGGCGCAGTACGCCTACAGCGGTACGCGCGCGGCTGAAGTACGCGGATGCCCGGCTATATCCCGTACTGTTAACGCTCGCGGGGGACAATGGCACCCACACGCTTGAAGTCGGTAGATCCGCCACGGCAAGAGACGCAATGACCAATGAACGAGACACGCCTATGGACAGTTAGAGGAGAGCGGTTCGACGAAGGACAGGTCCGCATAGCATGACTTACGCCAGGGATTTCTGGGGACCGCTTATGAGTTTCGTATCTACTTGCAGACTGTACTAGGCGAATGGATATGATATGTCCCCCGTATGCGATCTCATCCCTTTACACACTTATCTAGAGTGGCATACGCTGCTTATCCCTTCAAGCAGCGTATTCACTCATCTGTCATCACGACCACGAAGCCAGGAATTGTGAGTTCATGGCGCATCGAGTATCATCAAAAGAGATCAGACGTCTCAGTGATTCGCAGACTGCGAGCGCAGACGCTAGACGTGTAGCCGCAAAAGACTTCTGTCGTCGTAGAGAGAACTTGCTACCAGACCGTCAACCTGTGCGTGTGCGCGCGGGGTAGCCTGGGGAATTGCTCACGGCTCACACCTCGCTCACGGTATTGAATGTCCTTACCATGAGACTCAAAGAGAGTCTTGCTTGGCACTGCGC